AGTTAGTTACTTTAGTGATGAGAGTGATGATGATGATTAGGTTATAGATTCCTTAATGATGTTCTTAATCTATAACCTAATCTTCATCATCACTCTCGTCACTAAAGTAACTAACTCTGGAACAGATTCAATCTCATATGCAGGTTTCAGATTCTGTGTTTGAGTTGTGATCTTTGTGTGTATGATATGGTGTCCAAAGATGCATTTTTCAGTAGAAATTGAAGATTACATTATTTTTCATCTATGCATTTTTCAGGTCTTGGTTTTAGCATTAAACACTTGAGCTTGTATACTGCAATTTATATCAGTGAAACCATTTTTAGGCATGTGAATGTTGAAAGAGCTCAAATCAGAGAATGAGAAATTGATATGAATTCAGGATATCTGTCCAATTTGACCTTTTCACTAGACAAAGAAAACTGGTGCTAGTTCTTATTTCGATGATTACATTCTTGTGCATCAATACATTTTCAGCTCTTGCTTCGAAGATTACACTCTTGTACACTGGATACATTGTGTAATGCCAACTTCTAGAGTTGCATTGTCTAATGCCAACTTACAGGCATACTGCAGAAAACTGAGGAATTCTAAAGCTGTCCTTTTGTCTTCCACATTTGAAACTTTCAGCTCGAACCTTTCCCTGTCTGCATAGAGAAAAAGTGTTTGATTGTTGTATGCGTATTGAGATTCAAGACCATAACTGAAACTAGGGACTTTGGTGGTGAAACGTTTTTGAGATTCACTAACCAACAACTCATGATCTCCCATGATTTCTTCCATCAATTCCGAGATAGGTTTATCAGCGCTGTTTGGAACCATAGCTGCAAACACAACTGGTTCCAGCCCTGCATTTGATCCACCACTTTTAAAAGACATGCTTTAAAGTCTTCTTCTTAATTTATTTTGAATTTGTAGGTACCAGTTTCTGGGAATGCATCAATGAACATCATCATCTCCTCTCCTGTCAAACCAGATAAGAAGCAGATCCGAGGCAGCGACTCTGCTATCTGCGCGGCTGATTTATGTAAGAAACAACTCAAAAGAACCTTAATGGAAACTGAAAGCCATATACATACTTTCACTCTCTTCAGGTCAGGCTGTTTTGTGTTAACTGCTTCCCATAACGAACGCGGGATCATATCTTCTGTACAGAACACAATCTGGAATTTCCCTCCAAACAAAAACATTACTCCAACAGTTTCATGATCTTCCCAAGAGTCAAAGAGAGTGGTAACTCAAATTTACCTCCATGAATTCGCCATCGAGCTCCTTAAGAAGCTCTTGTATCTGCATTACAAGATGATATATTAATCAAAAGACTCAAAAAAAGCTTGCAAAGTGTAATATGTATCTCTTACCTTTTGAGCTTCATGGAATTGAAAGCCAAGCAACAGCAAAACCTGGAAAAATAAGGTATATTCAAAAGTGTTGTCTACGATCACAGTCTTGAACAATAAAGAAAGATTAAAAGGGTGAAAGAAACTGACTGGAGGGCCAAATCGAGGATCTTCAGGTTCCAAAGGTACAAACTTAGAATCTTCCTCTAGCGTTTGAGGAATCTCTTGAGCTGAATTTCTAACGCAGAGCTTTTGCTTGAGCTTGGGGTTCGTGTGGTAAGGTTTGTTCTTTGACCATAAGAAAGAAGACGTAGTGAGGCCAAAGACGTGAGTGGTTGCTAAATCCTTAA